ACCTGCTCGGGCGGGTTTCCCCAGCGGGCCGCGCCAGCTGGTTCCGCGCGGCCGGTCAAGTGTAAACTTTGGTGGCTGGCCACCGCGGAGCCCACCTGCGGTTTCCGTGACATTTCACTCTGACGTTCCATCTCCCCCGCATTCAAGAACCAAAGCCCGGTGACCCACGTATCCCTTGGCTTGGCTTTCCCCGTTACTTTGCGGAAGGAATCCTGGGGCCGCCGGGGTTCCACACTCAGCTGCTAACCGGTTTGAACCCAAAATTCTTGGTAACCGGCCCGACGGAGCCGTTCCGCGCCGTCGTGTAGGGTCCTTGTGAGTGGAAGGCTCAGCTGCAGTGGGTTTTACTCTCAAGTAAATAACGAGTCTCTGGAAGGAGCTCCAAGAGCTCAGGTGGGGTAGCGGTTACACGGTGGGCCTGCTAACCTCAAGGTCAGCAGTTTGAAGCCACTCTGCAAAGAAAGATGAGCCCCAGAAATGCACAGGGGACATTCTGCTCTGCCGCCAGGAGTCAGAATCGACTGGATGGCAGCGAGGTTGGCTGATGTGTAGAAGGGAGCCCTGGAGGCTCTGTGGGTCAGGTGTTGGGCCCTACTGTCTTGCAAACCCTGTAGCAGCGCTGCGAGTTGGAGTCCACTTGATGGCAGTCGGTATAATCATTTGCTATCAAGTCCCTCCTGCCCCGTGGTGCAAGTCTGGTGCGCGGACTAGAACTCTGCCCCTAGGGTTTTCATGGCTGGATTTTCTTTCACTAGTCAATCTCCAGGCCTTTCTTTGGATTTGTGTGTGTGTGTGTGTGTGTGTGTGTTTGTTTTCACATGTAGGATAGGGCTTCTCAGCAACACCTGCATTTTATTAAAATTGTTCTGAGTGCATTAACCCTATCTCCCTGGGACTCCTCCTGTCTTCCAAACCCAAGAGAGAAACAGTTGCCTTTACGTAGATTCTGACTCTGTGACACCACGTATGTACACCTGTGCTCCGCTAGGGGTTTCTTCAGTGGCCGACTTGGGAGAGTAAATCTCTAATAAATGAGTGGGCTGTGGTTTTTGAATGGGAGCGAGCGGCCTTAAGTGTCAGGGTTCTGGGGACTCAGTGAGTGTGCCCATGCCCATGCTATCGAGTGTTGAGTATGCTGCAGACAGGGCACCTGGGCCCTGTGGCGCCAAGGAGGACCTTGGTGGTGCAAACGGCTAAGTGCCCGGTGACGAACTTAAAGCTTGGTGCCTCAAACCCACCAAGAGGCGAAGATGCCTGGTGATCGGTTTCTGAAAGGCCACAGCCACCAACCCTTGTGGGGTACAGCTAATCTCCCACGAGACTTAGGGTCACCACCAGTCGGAATGAGCTTCGCGGCCACTGGTTTGGTTTTCTAGCACAGAAGTAAGCACAGCAGCCATGGTCACAGCCTCCCAGGAGGAAGAGACCCGGTTGGGAATGTAAAAGCCCACTGTTAGGTGACCAGCAAGTTGGCTCCGGCTCATAGTGACTGA